TTTAGAAATCCATCAGTCAATATAAAGGAAATATGACATGACAGGCTAAATATTAGACCTAGCGGAAGATTATAAGCTAGAAAAGTAAAGCTGATAGCCGATGAGGCTTTCAATTGTTGGCAAAGATATTATTATGTATCAGATTATCAGTCTTACTGAAATCTACATAATTAGCTTGTAGTTCTTCAATTTATTTTTAAAACTAAACTCTGACTCTGTGAGTAGCATTATAATTTTGAAATCAGACAGCAACATTATAAATAACACATTTTACTTTATCAGTCAATCAGTAAAATTAAACAAGGTGAATGTCAGCCAAAACTATGCCCTTCAATACCAAAAAGCATAGACGTGTTTCAATAAATAACAATTATAGTTTTATTGTAGTAATAAAATTAAACCATATAAATCTTTCAATAATAATAAGCATAGGAACCAACTAGTATGGATCATCTTTGGTCATAGAAATTTCTCACCTTTTTGATAAGAAATTTTGGCTTCTATGTATTCTTGTAGTGAGTTTGAGGCAAGAGCAAATGGGATCTGATGCTTATGGAGATGTTGGATAAGGCGATTGGCACCAGGAAGTGCTTTGGCATCTTTCCACCTAAATTATATAAAGAGAAAAGAAGAAAAGTTAAACCTGACCTTAACTCAGGATACAAATAAGAACTTCAATCCAACAAAGTTTATGGGAGGAGCGTTTAACAATAATAACTGAAAATAGCTTCCTAATTTACTAAACACTTGAAAATCTAACAATATCATGCTGTTTGTTTAGAGATGGGAGGGACTCCTCGGAGTGAAGGCTAAGAATGCAAGTGCCTAACACATCACAAATAAATTCCACATGGATTTCACAGCAGCAAACCATCCTTCAGAAATTTTCTTGAGATGTAGTTAATTGTATACAGTCAGCTTCATTTATCACCCCCAACTTTTAAGAGGCGTCTAAAGTCAATGTCCACTTCTCTTCTAGAGAAATAGTTAGCAATCTTAGCATAGATTTCGAGAACATACCAATTACTTGATATTCAGCATAACCTTCCATATAGATGAGATTAATTTCAAAGGGTTGCTTTTTTTAAGAAGGTTTACTAAGTACAATCCTTAGGCTTTAATAGGCATTAGAGTGATTAGACTAACATAGTCATTGAGCAATGCTCGAGTAACCGAACTCACTAAAAACAGGTAAATGAGACATGTACAAACTGTATGAACTAACATCAGAACTTTCCAAGTTTACCTTATCTTGGAAGTTGGAACTAGTCAAGCAAATTACTTATCTCACAAACTTCCAATTCATCACAGGTAAAGATTGAAAACAGACTAAAAAAGCAACATAAATAATCATTCAATTCTAAAATATAATGAAAAAAAATCACAACTTTAGTATAACACAAAAATATACCAAAACAAACTTACTTAGAACGATACAAAGGAGTAATTTCAGCAATAAATTGATCAGGAGTTAGAGGAAGATCATAATTCTTAACAATTGCAACAGCTGATTCCTTCTGAGTTCTTCCCACTCTCCCATGCTCTTTATCAGTAATCAAAACTTTCCCATAACTCGCCAAATAATCTCTCAAAACACATCTTGTCGCAATTTCTGCATGCAAATTTTTAAAAAAAAAATTAAAAAAATCAATCAAATAATCACTAAACATCCAAAATCAAAATTACCCAACAAGATTAAAATTCAAAATTTGAACCTGTATCCAAAAGGGTACCATCCAAATCAAGAATCACAGCAGAAATCGTTACCCCATTAATGGATTCGTTGATAGTCATGACTAAGATTTTTTATAGAGAAATTTTGTTTGGAATTGATAAGAGGGATGATGAAATAATGAAACGGCGGTGTATTTATTGAAGGAGATAGAATTATTCTGTTTTTGATAGAAGTATCCGAAATTGATGCTGATTTGAGGTTGGAAATTTGGCAATGTGTCCATCTTATTGAGAATGATTGGGGAAATTTGGGTACGGAAACTTTATATATACCTTTCGTCTCTCTTTCGAAAATTGTCCATTTTTGGAAAGTATGGCAAACGGAAATAAATTCTTGATTTTGAAGTTGACAAATGAGTCAAGTTTATGTCGTATTTGGGTTATGGGTCGTAAAATTTTACTCTTACTTCTTGCCAAAAAAAAAAAATTAAATAAATAAATTAGAAAAAATTCATGGAAATAATCTCACCTTTGAATCGTTCGTTTTTAATAATCCCATCTTTGGATTATTTTTTAATAATCCCGACTTTACCCCCAATTCTTTTTCAATGGTCCCATTTTTACATGGAACCGGTTGAATAGGTTTTTTTTTTTTTGGTTTAAAGTACACGTGTCACAACATAATTTAGTCAAAAAATATCTTTTAATTTTAATTAATTTTTAAGAAAAGATTATTACTAATTAATTTTAATTAACTAGTTTAAAACTAACTTTTTTAAAAATAATTAAAATTAAAATCCCAATTTGGTTTCAAAAAAAAAATTAAAAAAATTGCCCCTGAGCCACCAGCCCCAGCCCCGACCACCTCTCTGCCCCACCGTCGTCCCCAGCTCCCTTCCTCTATCCAGCACCATGGCACCACCTTCTTCCTGCCACCTCCTTACCAGCCACCCTGCCTTTTCGTCCACAACCCACCTGAAACCGGCCACAACCCACACAAAACGGCCACAACCCACCTGAAATCAGCACAACCCACCCCGAACCAGACACCCCAAAACCCCACCATTGAAACCCTCACCATAAAACACCGACACGACCAAAACCCTCTCCCCTCTCACCGGCATTGTTCGAAATTTCCTCCCCTTACACTAGCGCAACCCTCTCCCCTATCACGCTACTACCCACCTCCGGCAAAAACTTCAAGGAATCGCCACAAATCGTCGCCGCTGCGACCCAGGCCACTTGGATTGCTCGATTTTCAGAGGGAAAAGGGGTGGGGTGGTCGGATTTGGGAGTAGAAGGGGTGTTTTCAAGTGAAGGGGATGCGGTTGCGGTGGTTTCACATGAAGAGGGTGGGGCTGTGGTGGAAGGTGGAAGGAGATGGTGGTTTCCGGCTGGAAGGGTGGTGGCTTGGGATGATTTTTAAATAATTTTTTTTTATTTTTCTTTAAATAAATTTAACTTTTTTAAATAAAATAAAAAATTGACCAATTACACGTCGCCACATTCATGTAACTGTTATAACAGGTTACATGACCGGTTGGGACCATTGAAAAAGAATTGGGGGTAAAGGTCGGATTATAAAAATAATCCAAGGTGGGATTATTAAAAACGAACGGCCAAAGGTGGGATTATTCCATGAATTTTTCCAATAATTACTACTCTGTTTGTCCCTAAATTACATTTTGATTTGGAAATTTATGCGGGAATTAAGGAGGAAAAAATAGGACAAATAACAAATAACAATAATTAGATAATGCAATGGAAAGTACAAACATTAAATAATGTTTTGGAAAAATAGAAATAAATAATCCCACCTTTGCGTGGTCTGACAAAAATAATCTCACCTTTTGATTATTACAAGATAATCCCACCTTGATATGTCATCTTCTTTTAATGAACCTTGACTTGTTGGTGACCTATTATGGTTGTTATATGCCATGTGTCAAATTTTTATAGGCTCATTTCTTTTTTATAATTATAAAAAAAAATTAATACAAAACAAAATACTAAAAAAAAAGAAAAAAAAAAAAACAGCCACCATTTCCCAAACCCTAGCCCCTACCTCAACCACCACCAAAAATCGGTCGTCCACCCTCCTTATCCTTCGAAATCGACCGGCCAGCACCAAGGTTGTGTTTAAGGGGGATTTTTGGGGTAGTTAAGGAGGTTGGACGGAGTTTTTGGTGGTGATGGCTGTGGTGGTTATGGAGGTTTTCGACGGCTGAGTAGGGTTATAGAGTTTCGGGGTGGGATTTGGTTTAGGGGGTGATTTCGATGGTGGTTTAGGGGTGAGGTTTGGGTCGGGGGTGATTTCAGTGGTGGATGTGGTGGTTTCGGGGGTGAGATTTGTGTCAGTGGGTTACGGGCGGCCGTTTTCGGTGGTCTTCGACAGTTATAGGGGATGTGAAGGAAGTTTTCGGGTCTGGGATGGAGGTTTTCGGCGGCAGGGTGGTGTTTTCAGGGTGGTGGATGTGATTTCGGGGGTGGCTTATGGCATTGGGAGGTTCGGCCAGAGTTTTAGGAGGTTTAGAGTGGCGGCCGATGGGTTTTTGGTGGGCGTAGGGTATGGGTAAGGGATTTCACGGTGGCGGGGGGTGGCTAGTGGCTGGTGTTTTTTTTCTTTTCTTTTTTTTTTTTTAATTTGCTCTACCTTTTTTTTAGTTTAACTTTTATTATTTTGACCAATTAATGAGTGACATGTGGCTTTAAAAAAATTAAAAAAAAAATTAAATTGTTTAACAGGTTGTAAGTCAAATGGTCTATTAAAAGAAAATCACATACCAAGGTGGGATTGCCTCATAATAATCAAAAGGTGGGATTGTTATTGTCAAACCACGCAAAGGTGGGATTATTTATTTCCATTTTTCCTAATACTTTTGAGTAAAACAAAGATAGATTAGTGATTACTCATGACATGTCATGAGAGGAACTAGAAATGGAGGAAAGTTAGGCATTTACAAATGCATAACAAAGGGTATTCATGTAATTATACATATGTATAAACGAATGCATAGTCTGTATCATTGGATGATCAAATGGTACCACTGAATATATAGTAATACTATATATGTACATAATGATATTATATATGCATTCATCAGTTGTACAAAATTTATGCATAAATAGTACCACTGAGAATTCAATGGTACCATATAAACTTTCAATGGAACAATCAACATGTGGTCCCCCATCACGTGATACAATCCGACCAAAACATAGGTGGGGTCCACCTACAGACCTCTCTCTTCCTATCTCTCTCCTCTTTTCTCTCTCTATCATGTGTTTTAATAATATTTTAATCAATGCATTTACAAATGCCTAACTTTCCTCCCTTTAAAATTCTTCATGTCATCAATCCTTTGCAAAAAAAAAAGGACCAATCACATGCTCCTAGTTGAAAATTTTTAACCAATCATATTCATTGTAATTTGGCACAAGGATTCTGAAAAATTAAAGGCTGAAAAAGTACATTAGCCAACCAAACATTAAAAGTGGAATGTAAATACATTAACTATATATTAAAATACAAATGAAAAAGAAAGTGTATTTGAGATATTTAGAAAAAAAAAAAAATTACTAAAAATAAAAAAAGTGGAATGTAATTTTGGAATACCCAAAATAGAAAGGAGGAATGTAATTTAGGAACTGAGGGAGTATTACTTATATTGTGATAATCGTGAGGGAACCCAGGTTTTTCAAAATGATAAACATTTTGTGTTTGTCAAATGGCAATCTGGTAAATAATTTGCCTCGTATTCCGGAATATAGGTATAAAAAAATGTATATCTGCTCAAATGCCAGCTGTGACTCACGGTTCTCAAATGCCAAAGTTGGAAAAAAAAAAACAGAACCGAGCAGATTGATCCACCTTCAAATTGGTATTTAAGATCAACTATTATTTCAGTAATATGACTTCTCAGCGGCGACTGGTATTTTATTTTATATTTTTTTGTCCTTTTCCTCTTCCTACTCCATCTTCTTCTTCTTTAATCTTCTTCCTCCTCCACCTTCTTCTTGCTTTGACCGCTCGTGAAACCATTTTCACCACCACAATTTCGGCGGCTTCGCCACTAAACTAAACGAAAACCCTAATTGAAAAGGAGAAGGGTATGGTTAACCCTTTCAGGAAAGGTTTACATCCTCGTGCAAAACTCCGTCCAATTGAAGGTTAATTGCTCACCTTCGTCAATTGTTGAGTGCTCTGATTTTAAGTTCTTGAAGAGGACTAAATTTCAGCTTTACTACAGGACAAAAAAAATTGAATAAGAGAGAAAGTGTTCAGAATTACAAGAAGAGTGAAAATATACTCAGTAAAGCCTTCTAATGTCGTTAAATCAACGTTTAACAAAAATGTCAGTATTGCCCTTAAATTTTCATATGAAAGTACATTAAAACCCTTTGATAAACAAGGCTTGTTTCTCATTCTGATAAACTTGAATTTGTTCAATAATCAGATAAGTTAAATAATGTTATGGGATATATTTTGTGAGATACAAAGTTTGATAATATTGTGTGAGACATAATATTGTACAGTGTGAAGATATATTGTAAAAATATTGCCCTCTATGTATACCTATTCTATAAATTTTGTACGTGGTTTATGGTGTTTAATGAGAATTAAAGAGAATTATTATTGTGACCTATTTTGTGAGTCAAGTATCAATTTATATTTCAACGTATAGAGGTTAATCGATCAGAAGGAGTTGAGGTGAGGATCGAACCCGATCACACTTGGGGAGATAAAGGGACTAATCAACCCTCCACTCCTTGATCCTCAAAAATATAACATTTATTGAAAATTATTAGAGTATCTATTATGGTTAATATTGCAAATTGTTCCTTAATATTGCAATTTTACCCCTTCTAAATTTTCAACTAAGGTGGAGGAATTAGATTTTTTTTTTTTTTTTTTTTGAAGGAAGAAATTAGAAATTATAGAATCACAATTCTTAGTTTTTGCAAAATAAATTACTGTATTTGAAAATGAAAATCGGAATAGTATAAAATTGGAATTGGAATTTCGAGAATTGAAATTACAAAAACTGATATAAAATCCATCATCCCAAACACTTTCTCAACCATTTCTATAGTGCTACTACAGTACATGTTTATATAGAAGTATGTAACAATCAACAAAGTTATAAAAATGATT